CACATGTCATGTGATTAGCTGTGGCCAAATCACAGCTAAGCACAAAAAAAAAAAAAAAAATAAAATAAAAAAAAAAAAAAAATTCAGGTAAATGCTTGCTTATAGCAAAGTAATTCTTTGCTATAAGCAAATTTTGTAAAAAAAAAAAGAAAAAAATACTGATCACTTCCCCAAAGTAGTACAATGTTACTATGGTAACAATGTACTACTTTGGTCATAGTGAAATATGAAAAAAAAAAAAAAAAAAAAAAACAACCACAATTTTTTTTTCATACTGTCACCAGTCAGTGTCCCTGATCACCGCCATGCCAGTTATATGACAATATGTAAAAAAAAAAAATAGTGAAACTAATTTTTTAATTTTACGAAAAATGACAAAAAAAAACACAACTTCAAAAAAATCGCCATGCCACTTATGAAGTACGTCGGGCTGTCTACTTTGCAAAAAGGGATCATTTGGGGGATATCTGTACTGTTCTGACATTCTTGGACCTCAAGAAATTAGATTGGCCGTCAGTACTTCAGGACTGATCAATATTCAGATCTATACCATAGTTTGTGAACTCTATAACTTTCCTACAAACTAAAAAATACATCCTAATTTGGGTTATTTTCACCAAAGACATGTAGCAGAATACATCTCGGCCTAAATTTATGAAGAACAATTATTTATTTGCAAACTTTATAACAGAAACAAAGAAAAACTTTTTTTTTTTTCAAAATTTTTGGTCTTTTTTTTGTTAAATTTAACAAAAAATAAAAACTCCAGTGGTGATTAAAATACCACCAAAAAAGAAAGCTCTAGTTGTGTGAAGAAAATGATAACATTTTAGTTTGGGTACAATGTTGTATGACGCGCGCAATTGTCATTCAAAGTGCGAGAGCGCTGAAACCTGAAAACTGGCCTGGGCAGGAAGGTGTAAAATTGCCCGGTATTGAATTGGTTAATAACTGGTTGACCCTCCTTTGGCAGCAATAACCTCAACCAAATGCTTCCTGTAGTTGCAGATCAGACCTGCACAACGATCTGGAGTAATTTTGGACCACTCCTCTTCACAAAACGGTTTCAGTGTAGCAATATTCTTGGAATGTCTGCTGTGAATCGCTCTCTTAAGGTCATGCCACAGCATTTCAATCGGGTTGAGGTCAGGACTCTAACTGGGCCACTCCAGAAGGCGTATTCTGTGCTGTTGCAGCCATTGTTTTGTTGAATTACTTGTATGCTTTGGGTCATTGTCCTGTTGCATCACCCATCCTCTGCGGAGCTTTAGTTGGCGGACAGATGGTCGTAACGGTTTCCTGCAAAATGTCTTGATAAACTCTGGAATTCATTTTCCCATCAATGACAACAATCTGTCCAGGCCCTGAGGCAGCAAAGCAGCCCCAAACCATGATGCTCCCTCCGCCATGTTTTACAGTGGGGATGAGGTTTTGATGTTGGTGTGCTGTGCCTTTTTTCTCCACACATAGTGTTGTGTGTTCTTCCCAAACAACTCATTCTTGGTTTCATCTGTCCACAGTATATTTTGCCAGTAGTGCTGTGGAACATCCAGGTGCTCTTTTGCAAACTTCAAACATGCTGCAATATTCTTTTTGGACAGCAATGGCTTCCTCCGTGGTGTCCTCCCATGTACTCCATTCTTGTTTAATGTTTTCCTTATTGTAGATGTGTCAACAAAAATGTTAGCATGTGCCAGAGATTTCTGTAGGTCTTTAGCTGACACTCTGGGATTCTTCTTTACCTCATGCAGCATTCTGCGCTGTGCTCTTGCAGTCATTTTTACAGGACGACCACGCCTAGGGAGAGTAGCAACATTGCTAAACTTTCTCCATTTGTAGACAGTCTGTCTTACTGTGGACACATGAACATCAAGGCTTTTGGAGATACTTTTGTAACCCTTTCCAGCTTCATGCAAGTCAATAATTCTTGATCGTAGGTCTTCTGAGAGCTCTTTTCTGCGAGGCATGGTTCACATCAGACAGTGCTTCTTGAAACCAGTAAACCCAAAACAGGTGTGTGTTTTTTAAGGGCAGGACAGCTGTCAGCAACACATCCAATATCATCACACTGATTGGAGTCAAGGTTGGCTCACTCCTGGCTCCAATTAGCTCTGAGAGAAGTCATTAAGCTAGGGCCTCACATACTTTTTCCTCCCTGCACTGTGAATGTTTACATGTTATGTGCAATTAAACCATGGCAACATCTAATTTTTGTGTAGTATTATGTTCAGCAGACTGTGTTCTTCTATTGTTGTGACTTAGATGACGTTCAGAGCACATTTTATGCCCAATTCATGCAAAACTCCACGTAATCCCAAGGGGTTCATACACTTTTTCTTGCAACTGTACACTGATCATCAGGGCACTGATGATCAGTGTGCCCTTATGATCAGTGTAGCCCAAGCAGTGCCACCTGTCAGTTTCCATCAGTGCCTTGTGTCAGTGCCACATATCAGTGCCTACCGGTGCACATCAATGCCACATATCAGTGCCCATCTGAGCTGCCTTTCAGTGTCAGTCAGTGCCACCTATCAATTCCAGTCAGTGCCGCCAGTCAGTGCCCGCCTATCAAAATTTTCAGTGGTTTTTGGTTTGTTTTAAGAAAAAATTATAAACCCCAGAGGTGATTAAATACCACCAAACTCTGTCACAAAAAAAATGATAAAAATTTCATATGGGTACAGTGTTTGCATGACCGCGCAATTGTCACTCAAAGTGTGACAGCGCTGAAAGCTGGAAATTGGCCTGGGCAGGAAGGGGGTATAAGTGCCCTGTAGGCTTGTGGTTAAAGATGTAAGAAAACAAAACATACCCTGCAAAGATAAGAAAGAGAACTAAGGATTCTAAGACCTAAAAACTGGAGCTGCCTCTAGAAAATAGCTGGTTTGGCTGCTAGCAGTGTCTGACCCTAGGGTGCACTTTTGTATTTGGTGCCTAGCTTCACTAAACTCCAACAGCCAAATCATCACTACGCTGTGTTCTTCAATGACCAAAAATTAGAAAATTGCTAGCAGTCAGGTAAAGCATTTTATGTTTTTTTAAAGCCTCATCTACTAAAAAAAAGAAAAAAAAAATACCTTCTAGCAAATAGAAAAAACCCCCCAAAAAAACAAAAATAAATTCCTAAATAGAATAACGATTACATCTTGAAGAAAAAAAAAAAAAAAATTGTCAAACCATTTAAATACAACTCAAAATAAATACAAGAATCTAGCAGGCGTTTTGATATGACCCCCCTGTAAACCTGTAAAGAGGAGCAGTTTTGTAAGGCAATCAGGATCTACATCATTACATCTAGCAATGAGAGATGACTAAGAGATGTAAACAACAGATAAACCCCTTGACGCCAACGTCACACAAATATGTGGCCTTGCGGAAATGGGCTTTTTTCCGTGGGGCCGCAGATTTGCGTGCCTTTGTGCTGGGAGTGCGCTGCACTGCGTTGGTGTCACTGAGAACCAGGGTCCCGTTCTAACAATCGGGACTCCTAATTCTGGGTCACATGATCGCTGTGATAGCCTCTGATTGGCTATCACAGTGATCAGTCACTGTGCAGCCCGGCCCCCTTGTTTTTTTTCCCTCTCTATGAATGGAGGAGAGAGATACACATTGTATCTCTCTAACTCCTGCCATAGAGAGAAAAAAATAAGTTTGTAAAATAAACAAATATTAAAAAATAAAATTAAAAAATACCTAGATCAAGGTTTGATCTAGTTCAGTGTCAGGGTTATTGTTTGGGTCAAAGTCAAAGGTCAAAAAAATCAGGATTTAAAAAATAAATAAATAATTGGTGTCAGTTAGTGTCAATGTCAGTGTGTTTTTAAGACAAAAACAAAATGCGCACTATTGTTTCTGGGCTGTACTACGGGTACAAACAACAAATAACATACACATATATGGTATCTCTGCGATCGTCAAGAGCTGGGAAATTTATTTTCGGGTTGTTCTTTGGTGGTAGGTTATGGTAGTAACAAGAAACACACAGCTAATTAAAAAAAAATAATTTTTTTTTTTTTGCTATTTTGGGCCAGTTTTCCTTTGATAATGGATATCTCCTTATTTTTTTTTATTTTCATTTACCACCAAATGAAAGCCCCATTTGTTCTGAAAAAAACGCGGTATAATCCATCTGGATGTACAAAGTAGTTCTGATATGTACGGTTTTACTAACATGTCAACGTTGCAAAATTGTGCTTAGGCATTTACATTTGTTTTATACCCTTAGGTGTGAATGGGTTAATCTCTTATCGTCACTATCCTTTCACAGGTTGGGTGGGTCTTGGACCAAGCTGTAAACCTCAATTGCAACTTAAGCCGGCCATAGACAGAATGAAATTCATCCGGTCAGTAGGGACCAGATTAATTTTGATCCATGTATGGGCAGGCTGGTTGTACTGAAGTTGATTGCTCATTCAGCTTCAGTTCAACCAGCCTGTCAGGTTTTTTTTGTTTGATCATTTTGTCACCTATAGCCCCTCCCGCTGTCTGAATGCAAAAGCTTAATGGGAGGAATTCCCCTATGAACACCGAATGTGTTCATGGGAAAATCAAGCAATTTCCTTTCCTGCAACCTTTGACTGAAGGAAAGAAAATTAGCCAATAGAAGGCCTGCTTAAGTCTACAGAAAGGTTTCAAGGAAAGTGAGACTTGGCTATATTGTCTGGATCACAAAACTAGTTAAAAAAAAAAAAAATGCAATTTTCAAGTGACCCATTTGCAGACAATTCATCGGGACATTTAAAAGGCTTCAGGGTAAGGCTGTAGCCTTTTGCTTGTCAGTCTGGGCCACCTCCTGGCTTCACAAAGACTGCAGAAATAGTGAATAAGAAATGATAATGAGTTCTTTATCAAATGATCAGGTGTGTGTCTGATTAAAACCAGGATGTGTGTATATTAAGATGTCCCCCCTTTGTTTTCAGATGTGCCAATAATACAAGTTGCCTGTGACCGTTCTGTGCTCCGTTATGAGATTTTTCTTCTTCTAGTAAGAATGAATTTACCTGTCTCCAACGCCCAGTCTCTGGTGTGTAGTATTCCAGTCCCATCAATCCAGCCCGGACCATATTCAGCCAGTTAACAAACAGAACATCTTGTGCCTCCTGAGATTCATGGCCAAATATCCTGTGGGTTGCATAAACAATATTGTTAACAGAAGGGTCTGTAGGTCTTCTCAAAGTGTGCCAGTTTAGCTTATATTGACATTATGGGGTTGATTTACTAAAACTGGAGAGTGCAAAATCTGGTGCAGTTATGCATGGTAACCAATTCGCTTTTAACTTCAGCTTGCTTAAGCTTTGACAAAAAAAAAAAAATGGAAGCCGATTGGTTTCTATGCAGAGCTGCACCAGTTTTGCACTCTCCAGTTTTAGTAAATCAACTCCTATACAGTTGTGCTCAAAAGTTTTCAAACCCTGGCAGAAATCGTGAAAGTTTGGCATTTATATTGAAATATGACTGCTCATGCCAAAAAAAACTGTCTTTTATTTAAGGATAGTGATCATATGAAGCCATTTATTATCACATAGTTGTTCGGTTACTTTTTTTAAATCAGAACAACATAAATCACACAAATGGCCCTAATCAAAAGGTTTACATACCCTGGAATATTTGGCCTTGGTACAGACATACAAGGTGACACACACAGGGTAAAATGGCAATTAAAAGGTTAATTTCCCACATCTGTGGCTTTTTCAATTGCAATTAGCATAAGTGTATAAATAGTCAGTAAGTTTGTTAGCTCTCGCATGGATACATTGAGCAGGCTAGATACTGTGCCATGGGGAGCAGAAAAGAACTGTCAAAAGTCCTGTGTAACAAGGTAATGGAACTGATAAAGATGGAAACAGATATAAAAAGATATGCAAAGACTTGAATATGCCAGTCAGAACTGTTCAATCACTTAAGAAGTGGAAAGTTCTGGGATCTCTTAATACCAAGCCTAAGTCGGGTAGACCAAGAAAGTGTGCAGCCACAATGGTAAAAAGAATTGTTTAGGATACAAAAAAAAAAACAACAAAAAAAATATAAACACACACACACACACACACACGACAACACAGGTAGCCTTAGGAGAAATACAGGCTGCTCTGGAAAAAGATGGTGTGGCTGTTTTTAAGCACAACACGATGATACTTGAACAAAAATGAGCTGCATGGTGGAGCTGCCAGAAAGAAGCCTTTACTGCGCCAATGCCACAAAAAAGCTAGGTGAGGAATATCAAATACCTTGTTATGCAGATCTTTTGACAGTTCATTTCTGATCCCCATAGCTCAGTATCTAGCCTGCTCCACGTGAGAGCTAACAAACTCACTATTTATACACATTTAGACACTAATTGCAATTTAAAAAGCCACAGTTGTGAGAAACTAGCCTTTAATTGGCATTTTGACCTGTGTCACCTTGTGTGTCTGTACCAAGGCCAAACATTCCAGGGTATTACACTTTTCAGTGCTATTTGGGTTATTTTTTTCATCATTATGATTTAAAAGGAGCCAAGCAACTACAGTTGTGTCCAAAATTATTCAACCCCCAATGCTGTAAAGGGGTTTAGGGACTATAGTGTACATTTGGAATTGTATTCAGAATCAAATCCTACAAGGACGTTGTAACTACCCAAATGCAACTAAAATGACATCAATTGTTTATGTAATACAGTAGTAAATGGTTCTTATGTGGTTTCTTTCATTGCCACAATTATTCAACCCCTTAAAGACTACCACTCTGAAGAACAGAGGTTCATACAGGTGCTTTCCATCAGGTATTGAAAACACCTGTGGATGTCACCGAGCAGCAATCAAGCATAATAAGCACCAATTAGGCAGCTTTAAAATGACTGTGATACTCAGCTCCTTCTAGACATTTACTGGTGTGGTTACAAACATGGTGAAGGCAAGAGAATGGTCCAGGAAGACAAGAGAAGAGGTGATTTCTCTTCACAGGAAGGGCAATGGCTATAAGAAGATTGCAAAGATGTTAAACATACCAAGAGACACCTTAGGAAGCATCATTCGCAAATTCAAGGCAAAGGGCAATGTTGAAACGCTACCTGGTCGTGGCAGAAAGAAGATGCTGACTTCGACTGCTGTGCGCTACCTGAAGCGTAGAGTGGAGAGAAGTCCCCGTGTGACTGCTGAGGAACTGAGAAAAGATTTGTCAGATGTGGGTACAGAAGTTTCAGCCCAGACAATAAGACGCACACTGCGTAATGAAGGCCTCCGTGCCAGAACTCCCAGGCGTACCCCCTTGCTGTCTCCAAAGAATAAGAAGAGTCGACTGCAGTATGCCAAAAGCCATGTGGACAAACCACAAAAGTTGTGGGATAGTGTTCTGTGGACTGATGAAACAAAATTAGAACTGTTTGGGCCCATGGATCAACGCTATGTTTGGAGGAGGAAGAACAAGGCCTATGATGAAAAGAACACCTTGCCTACTGTGAAGCATGGTGGAGGGTCAATCATGCTTTGGGGCTGTTTTGCTTCTGCAGGTACAGGGAAGCTTCAGCGTGTGCAAGGTACCATGAATTCTCTTCAGTACCAGGAGATATTGGATGGAAACGTGATGCAGTCCGTCACACACCTGAGGCTTGGGAGACGTTGGACCTTTCAACAGGACAATGATCCCAAGCATACCTCCAAGTCCACTAGAGCATGGTTGCAGAGGAAAGGCTGGAACATTTTGGAGTGGCCATCGCAGTCACCAGACTTAAATCCGATTGAGAACCTCTGGTGGGACTTAAAGAAAGCAGTTGCAGTGCGCAAGCCTAAGAATGTGACTGAACTGGAGGCCTTTGCCCATGAAGAATGGGCGAAGATACCCGTAGATCGCTGCAAGACACTTGTGTCAAGCTATGCTTCACGTTTAAAAGCTGTTATAACTGTAAAAGGATGCTGTACTAAGTACTAAGATTGAATGTCACTTGGGGGTTGAATAAAACTGATAATGCTGCTGTGAGCACAGAAAAGACATTTGTGGTTATTTCATTATAACTGTTATGTTATATTTGTCTGACCTACAAGTGCCTCTTTAATGTAAATGTAAGCAAGATGACTGAATGATCAAAAGCAATGTCAAACTGGCCAAAACACTCAATTTCATTGGGGGTTGAATAATTTTGGACACAACTGTATGTGATAATAAATGGTTTCATATGATCACTATCCTTAAATAAAAGACAGTTTTTGGCATGATCAGTAGTATGATCAGCCAGGGTATGCAAACTTTTGAGCACAACTGTATGTCCATTAAAGTATACTTTGGGCAAGTAAACATTTGGGATTTTGCAGCAAGAACGGGCCAGAAATGAATCAATGATTCAGCTGGTCAGCCTTAGCATGAAAAGCAATGTATACAAATCAAAATTCCCTTTTTATGCAAGTTTGCTAGAAGTGTACGAAAGGTACTGAGCAGTGTGCAGAAGTTTAACTTGGAATTTTGGGGCACTTGACCCTTTGGGCTGGTTTGCCTGGAAACACATGTATTCTGTATAGCAGCTTTGTGGTGCATGATGCAGATCTGAGCAGTTTGAGTACTGTATGTGCAGGTGCCCAGTGTATGTTACCTAGCAATGCAAGCATGTACATGTTCTGCACAATTGGACGGTTTGCTGTGAGCAAATAAACAACCAATACCTTGAGTATGGGACTATAAAGGTGCCTATAAATATTATACATCAACAAATACTTCTAAAACATAGAAGTTTATTGTATTCATAAAAACATTAACATTTCTCGTCTATTTCAACCAACATAATTATTTTCTTATATACAAATTAGGACACAGATTTTTTATTTTTCATAAACAGGTTTCACAGCTATCGTATTCCATCCCACCCTGTCAGTGTGAATTCTCCCCAGCCAGAACCATCTGGATTTGTATAACTACATGCCAACAAGAATAGAGAAGCCAAGTGATATAGAGCAGGGTAGAATGGAAACGTGAAACATATTTAGTAAGAAAATGTACACATCCTAATGTATGCATGTAACAAAATGTGGTTGAAACAGACCAGATATGTTAAAGTTTTTTATGAATACAATAAACTTATGTGTTGTAGGAGTATTGTTGTAGCATAATTTGTATAGGCACCTTTAAAAGTCCCAAACGCAAGGAATTGTTTATTTGTTCATAGTTTTTGGGGTGATGGTGCCTATCCAGGCAACCCTGAGAACATAGACATACATGGTTATTGTTTGTTGTGAGAATGAAAGGAAGCTAAAGCTGTAGCACATTCAAAGCAGTATATCAATGCACTTGGAATAACATCACAAAAGCAGTCAAGTAAGGTGTCACTTTACACATTCACTGTAGAGGTCCACTTTCTTACCGTAGCACCTCTTCATTGACGCACAGATAAAGGCCAACACACTCTGCTCTGCATTCCTCATAGGAAGAAGCAATTGTTGAGAATTTACTATCCCAAGTTTCACCTGGCTTATACCAACTCTTCACCTGAAGGTAAAAGAGCAATATTAGGAGTACAAAAGAACATATACAAATTAAGGAATCTTTACGGGTCAACAAAAACAATTAGGATTTTTGATTACCTGTAAAATCCTTTTCTTGGAGTACATTACAGGACACAGAGAAGTTAATAGTTATTACTACATGCGTTATGCTGCACCTTTCAGGTGAATGGACACCGGCCAAAAAAAGGCTGGAATCCCTGCAAAGGTATAACCCCTCCCAGCGTAGCTAAGCTTCAGTTTTGTAGCAAGCAATGAGGAACACAAGCCAGAGGGGAGAGCTCTATATGTCCCGTGTAAAGGATTCCATGGGTAAATCAAAAGTCCTAATTTCTTAATCGTACATCACAGGACAAAGAAGAGTCAATAATCATTACTACAGGGGATGTACCAAAGCAAGGAATTTGAGTGGAGAACAACACAGCAACAAGGTCAGCAAGCCCAAATTCTCAAACAGAGAAGGGGGAACTCCCTTACAAAGCTGCCTGCAAGACCCTTCCTGGCAGAAGTTTTCAAGCGTGTGAACAGAAGACCAGGTAGCAGCCTCACACACTTGAACAGAAGCTTGATGCTGAATGGCCTAGGAAGCACTGACACTCCTCGTGAAATGGGCCCTAATTAGGGAAAGAGGAATCTGGCCTTTGATCCCATAGGCCTGAGAAATTAGTTGACAACATCACATAGTGAATTTAGAAGCATCCTGACCCTTATGAAGACCTTCAGGCAGAACAAACAGGGAATCAGACTGTCGAAATTAAGCTGTAAAATTCAGATAATAACAAACAGCCCAAACAACTTCCAAGTATGAAGCACCTTAACTTCAGGTGCTTTGAAGTAGGACAAAAGTATGGCAACACTGAATGGAATACCACAATTGCAATACTGCAAATATACAAAATTATACCTTAACTTGCCATATGCCTCAAATAAAAAAAAAAAATTTACTGAAAATGACAATTGTTCATATACAGTATACCGTGCCACTCTGTATATGTCAAACAGTGAACAACAGTAATCCAAGTCCTTGTATGTGAATCTTACGTGCTCCACAAAACACTTTGGCATTAAAACGTGTGCCTTCCAGTGTGCATCCACCACTAGTGACACCACTCTCACCTTGTCATTTGACAAGGTTAGCAGTAAATCAAATATGCGCTCTCCCTTTTAAGGGGCAAATGGATGTCAGATGGTCCTTCACACTCTTCTACTTGGAATATGCAGCACGACTTCCTGGATATCCTAATTTCCAATATTTATTCCAAAAGACCAGACTTTTCTCATATATTGTCTATTTTCAATAAATATATACAATTTCTATAATGGGTGCTCAGGAAAAAATTAGAAAGACGGTGTTTTTCTGCTAAAACAAATGTAAATTTTATTAAACATTATCAAGAAATACACTCACATCACAGATTACTAGCATACACTTTCCCCTTACTAGTTTACCGCAATGACTGTGCTCTGGCCAAAAAAAAAAAAAAACCTTACTTCCAGGCTTTGTATGGTGACAGCATTAACATCGCAATGTTGCAGAGAGGATGTCACCAGGGAACAACAGCTGGGGGGCTCCTGTCCCAGACGACGACCTCCCTATGATGAAATGTGTCGGGTGGGGCCTTGCCTACTTGGGTCAGCTCCCAGGATACAGGTGATCATAATGATTCATTGTTGAATAAGGAGACTGGCAACAGAAAGGTGACCGGAATCTGAATTGCTGATACTCGAAGACAAGTTATCTAAATAAGAACTTTGCGTTTCACCTATTTGGCTGCATAGTGTGGAAAAATGTGTGTAAATCACAGGATTGGTTGTACATACAGTAATTAAAAACTCTTAAGAACTTTCAACAGTAAACATACAGTATTTAAACCCATCTCGACAACATATGCTATATGGAAAGCTCCCAAACTCTGACAGGTAGACCATCTTTTGTATTCCACAATGTATTCCACAATAATCAGGAACACAGACAAATACATCAAATTTTAAACAAGTATTTGTATCCACTGCAGGGGGCATTTCCTTGCCTTGGCACAATAATCAGTCATTACTATCAGCCTACACTTGCTTGCCTGCAGTTGATCTTTTGATCATGTCATGCTTCATGCAGAATACAGAAGCCACAAACATTCTCTGTTTACCCAGGGGTGTATTGACTGCAAGGCAAACAAGGCGTTTGCCTTGGGCAGCATCTTTTAGGGGGGGCGGAAACACCCCCCAGTAGAAGGGACACATGTGGCAAGGGGCAGATGATGGCGACCAGGTGAGGCACTGCCTGAGCTCTGCCATGGGACCCGAGAGGCTGTGGGCTGCTGGAGGGTGTAGGTAGAGGCCGACTCTTGTTTCCCACACAAGGACAATACTGGGCTTTGCTGACCATGTCTCTGGGGATGGCTGACTGCTTTCATCCCGGAGGTGAGTGCTGAAGGAATGTCCCTCTCTTTTTTTTTTTTTTTTTTTTTTTTTTAGATTGAGGGGGCTGATTTTAGTGTTGCCTAGGGCAGCACAAAAACAAAATACACTACAGTGTTTAACCTAGAAAAGCACACATTTTTACTTATTTCTCTTACCAGGTATATCTTCCCCCTACCAATAAAGCTGATACTTATTCTGATAATTTGCTTTCTCTGGTCCCACCACCACCAACATACTAATTTGCTATTTAAAGTTTTGAATAAAACATATCTTATTATCGACCTAGTGTCATCATCAATGGATCTTTGTGGTTCCCGGTGCAATGCAGGCAGATCTTTGCTGCACTGGGTGGGGAGGCTGTAAATAGCTTCCTGAAAACATCACAGCATTCTTCCTTGGTACACCTTTCAAGAGCTTTCAAAAGCTCTGAGCCCTGATGCAAACAGTGAGTTGAGAGAAATTATACAAATATGAAAAAGCCTTGATGGGTAGATGTCAATAATGATTGGTGGATATTCCTAGGCAGAATTTATTTGTATGCATTCTGCTCTAGATACCACCCATATTTTACACAAAGCCTTCATGACTGAAATAACTAAAATCCATTGAATGTCCCGGGCCAGGGACAGTAAGGCTGGGGAGAAAAGAGCTAGACATTGCTGGATGTCTGCCAGCCTATAAACGAGGTGGACCTATGCAACGTCTAATGCACACTGTGAGAAAATCCACAGTGTGCAGTGAAATCACAGTAAGCAATTTCAGTACAGGAGAGGAGCCTGTAAAAATGTGCAAGGCAAAGGGCAAGGTTGGAGTTCAGCTTTAACATTCACACAAACTAAATTATAACCGCTTTCCAAATTTATAAAAAACATTTGTCTCACAACTTTATACTCACCGATTCCCCAGTTTCTGGGTTGATAACACTGTCATTATCAAAGTTGAATCCTCCTTTCTCATCCTGCAAAACAATTTACCTATAACATGAGCAAGGTGAAGTGAATATGAAGCCCAACAATGAATTGTGATTGTTCCCTTTTGGTCTAATAAATATACTAATGAAAGTGTTTTGTTATCTGTACAATAAGTGCAAAAAAGAGCTGTTGATTTAGCTATAAATCTTAACTGATAACTTTTTGCGTTCCTTGCCTGTGCAGACTCATTATTAGAATTACTAGCAGCTCTCTTTGTGGATTACAGAATGACTCCCCCATAAATTATGCAGATAAAAAGACAAGGTTTTTCTGTAGTAGTGAACCATTATTTCTGACAATTGGGGCTCTACTGTAGTTTATGTAAACTTAACACAGAACAGCCAGAAAATTGTAGTGTTTGTTCACATTGGTGGTCGGTAGAGAAATGTTCACTTACTATGATGACCAATGTAAATGTACTCCTTTACATTTGTGGTCAGTGAAATGGCCCCTTACATTAGTAGTCAATGTAGTGCCACTGTTCATAGAAATATTAGTGGTCAATGAAGAAGGACCTTTTCAAGACTAGTGATTATTGAGAGAAGAACCTCTATACATTGGTGGTCAGTGGAAGAATCAGTGAGAGATTGTCCCCATGATACTGGTGGTCATTGAGAAGATTGCTCCTTCCATTAGTGTGCCCCTTTACAGATAGATAAAAACACTTATTGGTGTCAGTAGTTACTTATCGAGTAGGAAATTGCCCATTGCTGAAGGAACCCCTAGCAACCTTCAGAGTAACCCTAGGGTTCAGGTCTGAAAGCCCAAATCTTTTTTTACTTTTAACTTTCAAAATTGTTCTTTTGGACCACACTAGTGGTAGTCAGCACTGTATAAACTACAGTATGCGATGTCTGTGTGCCAGACAACTTCTCTGCTCCTGGATCAAAATCAAATCACTCTGAGACTGCTCAGCCATTCACAGGAAGCCTTGTATTTTTATCAGTGAATACAAAGCTTCCTCTGGTTGGCTGAGGTGGAGAGGCAGGGGGATGATGCTCATCACCTCAGCCAGTTAGAGGAAGCCTTGAGGAGCTCCGTTTTCCTCTGGCATCAGAAAGATGTTCCTGTACCACTGCTGAAACATAGAGCTGCATACTTAAATGCCGACAGCCTGGCCCGAAAAAACTATTTAAAGTGAGAGTACACATGGAGTAGGTTTTAAAGGATAAGTTCACCTTTTAGACAAAAAACACTAAATGCACATTTTTTGCAGGTAAAAAAATGTGCATTTTTTATTTCTGTCTACAGAAGTCTGGAAAGCATTGCACCAGCGGTCAGTAGATCGCTGATGCCATGCAGGTCTCCTGCAGACCTGTCAGAATACCTGCTTGTCATACGGAATGTACGAGCAAGCAGATATTATGACAGGAAGCTTCAATTAACTACCACGGCGCTCCACAGAGCCATGGTAGTTCACTGAAAACTACAAGCCCACAGCCACTAAGGCTGTCGGGACTTGCAGTTCATTCATTCACGGAAGTCCGTGAATGACGTGGCCCTGTGGGCAGAGCCCTGCATGGCCGCGCCGTTTTCATTTGACAGATAGTACGGGGAAACTTCTTCCCGTACTGTCAGAGGGAGGAGGGGGGCGGCTGCGACAATGGGAACATGTTGCATGTTCCACCTAAAAAACGGGTGGAACATGTAACATGTTCAAAAGATGGAACTAAACGCTCCTATCCTTTTCAGCCAAGGAAGATACCATCTTAGCCTCTGTTTGATCCAGAACTGCTAACATTGTGTGAACGTAACTGTTTTTTGAAACCGTTAAATTGATGGGTTTAGTTCTGCATCAGACCCGGTTCACACCAATGCAGTGCAGGAAACACTTCAAATCCTGTGCGTTTCCCGCACCACAATGCAATTGCATCACGTTCATTCGATCTGGTGCGGTTGTCAATGATAAATTAATGACACCCTGAAACAGAACGCAAAACGCAATGCGATTGCCATTGGGTGTAGATTTAAAAAAAAGGGTCCTGCACCTTTTTGGTGCAGATGCGATGCGATTTGAACCATACAAAGTGTATGGTTCAAATCCCACCGTGCAGACATTTGCATGTAATTCACACAGTGAATGCGGTGCGATTCCTGTGTGAATTACATGCGGTGTCCAACACCGCATTGTGTGAGCCTGGGCTTAAGGTAAAAATTTCTAGGGAAGAGCAGGAAGGATGTATTAACCTCCCTAGCGGTCTGATTATGTCCATATTTCTGTGCTCAAAGTGGTACATTTTTTTGCACGGAAATATTTTTTTTTTTTATTGCAGGCCTGTAATTTTTACGAATAACTCACTGAAATCTGTCCGAACAAAAGTCTAGTAAACATCCCGGGTATGATAAAATTTGAAACACAAAATCATAAATTATAATTTAATAAATAATCATAAAAAAATAATCTAATAATAATAAATTTAATTCAATAATATAATCAAACCAAAAACACTGAAATTTGAAATATAGCGCCAAGTTTGCACATCACTGAGCAAAGTCGCAAAATCATTTTCATTGTCTGATGATGAATTTCCCCACGAATCATTATCACTCAATTCTGCAAGTGGTTCTAATTTACTATCGCTGTTCTCTAGCTGGTCTAAAACCGATTTTGACCTAAAAGGAACGCTTTTTGGACACCATGGACGTTTCTCAGTTTCCAGGCAGAAAGAACAGTAAAAATGCAGGCAGGGCACAGGACAAAGCACTAGGGATAAAATGTATGTGAAATGGTTTGCTGCAGTAATGTTTTACTATGTGATTTTAGTGTATTTAGTGAATGTCATTTTTTGTCATTTTCAAATTTCCCGCCAGTTCCGTCCCCCAGCCTCTTCAATATAAATATACTGAACAAACTGTTACAGGGTGTAATTTTCATGCTGCATAAACAGTAAAGTGTGGCTGTAAGTCAGTATGGACCTCACATAAAGGTATGTCTTTGATAAGTAAAATACTTCAATGGCCAAACTATATCCAAAGCAATGGAAATAACCCAGGCTGTCAAGCTGCAATTTCCTGCTCACCTGTGTCCCCAGGCCAGGAAGGGATGGTGTCCTCAGTAGATTACTGCATCGGCAGCACTGGATCACAGCACTCTGAAAGTGATGTCACTGCAACCGGGGAAAAAGCGGAAGTAGGGCACTGGGCATGAATCGCAAGTTTGACCGTTAACCACGAAGCTTTGTCAAGTCTAGAGAATTAGTGGTTACCAGATTTATATAGAATTACTTGGACAAGTGGGCTGGTGACAACAGGGGAGGACCTGGAGCAGACATTCCCCTTTCACAGCACTAATACACTTGCAGCATCGAATATTATATTATCAAAGATGTGTATCAAAGAGTGTATAAAAAAATGCACAAATACATTTCAAACAAAATTCGGTACTGTCTACTAAGAATTAAGCTTGCCTGGAATTCATGTTGGAACTGGTAGACCGATAGTACTGTAGTGCCGATAGACCGCCTTTATGGGGAATGGATGTGTACAAAAGAGGAAACATCTAAGGAGGAAGGTCCAATTATAACCTTCTTCCCAAATGTAATGTTTTAAACCGTCAATGATGTGACTTGAATCTTTAATGAATGATGGAAGTTGGCATATCATCGGTTGGAGAAAAAAAAATCAATGTACTTGCTACTATAGGTCTTCCTGGGGGGGTTATCTATTGATTTGTGGACCTTTTGGAAGATGATCAAAGTAAGGGGTGCTGCTCATAGAAGGGATCAGAAACAGTTTCTCCTCCCTGCCCCGCATCCCCCCTCTCCACGCATACTCAACCAGTGTATTTAATGCCAACTGGAATGTTGGTAGCGGGTCCTTATTTAACTTGCTGTATGTGTTGGAGTCTAAAAGAAGACAAAATAATTCCTTCACATATTCTTCCCTGTCTTGAACAACAAGGCTCCCACACTTATCTGCTTGTTTTATAGCAATGTTCTTATTCACCTCTAAATCTTTTAGAACATTGTGTGAACAAATGTATTTTGTGCATTTTTTTTTATACACTCTTTGATACACATCTTTGAGAATATAATATTAGATTCTGCAAGTGTATTCGTGCTGGGAAAAGGGAATGTCCGCTCCAGCTCCTCCCTGTTGACACCAGCCCACCTGTCCAGGTAATTCTGTACAAATAAAGCTGTTAAACACTGATTCTCTAGACTTGACAAAGCGCATGCGCACGAAACGTGCTGTCATGGTTACCAGCCAAGCTTGCGAATCATGCCCAGTGCCCTACTTCCACTTCCTCCCAGTTTAGTGATGTCACTTGCAGAAAGCCACAATCTTCGGTCGATGCAGTAATCCACCAAGGATACCATCCTTTCCCAGCCTGGGGACGCAGGTGAGCGGGCATTCCAACTTGAGAGCCTGGGTTTTTTCATAAACAGTAAAACAGACATTGAAAGAGGAAAGTATAGCGTTAGTGTAGTCTAAACAAACAGCCTTTTCAAAGTGTATGTAAAGCCAAAAGCGTGAAGATCTACAACAAAGATATAGACAGAAAAACTCAGCATACAATCTATATCTTGAAGTACATTGAGGGACACAGGGATGTAGTAAATCTTGTACAAGTTAGTTACATTTCTAGAGGTTTGGATGGCATGGGATGGGATATGGGAGCAGTAAATGAAAAACAGAGCAGAATGAGAATGAATTCTCACTCACACTCATACTAAAATTGTAGCAGGGATTCTTTAGCAGTAATAAATCTGTCTGACCAAGTATAAAATTTTAAATAATAAATTTTGTAAAGGAGAAAAATCTACCTCAGAAGAGTCAGGGTAGGAATCCCCTTAGGAACACTATAAAATACTAGCGCGAAAAAGAGCCAGAGGAGAAACTATTTTCATAATCAGATCCCATGAATGCTTCCAGACTTACAAACTCACAAATAAGCAATATGGGATAGAGTACAGCCAAGTAATATAGAGATCTATCTGCTGAGTCTCCAAGGTGGTACAGGAAAATTAGGGATGGATGCTATCTCATAAGGAAGAAGGAAAAATGGTCTGCTTTATAGAAATAGATGAAGAATATTGTTCCCAGGGTAAAGGAAGAGCTAGTCCCCACTTTGAGCAGAAATGCACAACTTTACTGGGAGGACTGAAGGATCAATTTAGATTCTACAGCTAAAAAGAGGAACCACAATGTATAGAAGTAAATATGAGAGAAGATTTTCCAGATTTAATCGCAGAGATCCTCTTCGAAAAGCAATGGGAGAGATGGCCAGCAAGCCTTCCAAAGCAAGGTAGGACTCAGACTCTTTTCAGTGAAAATATCAAAAGACATTCTGCTAAATAGAGTCAAGAAATAGGAAACAGCAGAAAGGACCAATAGTCTGTGCCTTGAGTAGGAAGCAAAGACTATCAGAACATACTGAAGAATCTTGTGTCACAAGGGTTATGGAGTGGTGGAATCTAATTCCCGTTGATGTAGGAAGTTACAAAATCCCTGCAGAAAGGAATAGGGCTGGAAGAGGGTCAAAGGTGGGAGAAGGAACACGGAGAGTGCTAGTGGATGACATCACTACTTTGTTCTCTAAGCCTTAACTGCCACCATGCCAAGGTGGAGATGGCAGGAAAATTTAAGAAATGTGCAACTGACACCTGTGAAGTAGCTTCCATTGCTTCAGTCCAACTGTCCCAATTACTATGCGACTTCCTAGAGCCCTGGCACATCAGGGGCTGTGCCACAGTTCTAAACCTAGACAGCACTCTGTAGCTGACACATTGTTTGTCTCAAAATCTGGTAAGACCCAAAACTCACATTCCAAGGAAAACCTAATAGACAGTAAAAGGGATTTGGATGTGGCTCTGTAAATGCTGCCACATGGCTTTATTCACTACATAAGTCAAGCAGAGGTTTTAGAGCGCGCCTCGCAGCCAACATACACAGTGGCCTGGAAAGTGCTAGAATGCAGTCAGTGAGTGAAGGTTACATACTAACAAACCTACAAATTACCAGTCCAGTGGGGTGCAAGTAGGGGTTCCCAAGCTATGTTGAGATAATTCCATTGTGCTTCAGCTTGAAGGCTTTGTTCATAAAGTGAATTTATAGCTAAAGGCAAAACGGTTTTATTCAGTTTTAAATAGTGGTGTGAGGGATTAGAACTCCTGTCATGTTTTTATTGCTATCTATGTCCCTGTTATCCACCCTCTCTATGTGCTCTGTTTACCATCGTCATTGAAAGTAAAGTCAAAAATTTTTGGGTTGCCCCCAGAACAGTAATAAGAGGGAGACTCTTCCAATAGGGACACTAGTTCTGGTGACTCTGGTAACAACCACTTTGGGGGGGAATTCCTCTCACTTCCTGTTTTGGCTTTGGGACAGGAAGTGAAGGAAATCTCCCCAATGGGACACAGATGGGGAAAAAAAAAAAAATCTGACAAGGGTTATAACCTTCCTTTACTTTATTCATAAAGGAAAACAACCCCAGGTCTGGATAGCTGCTGTGAAGAGACTGGCATGATTAAAGTAACTCAAGAAAAAATATCCATGCATCCATGCAAAAAATAAATAAATAAATTAATCTTGTTCAAAGAGAAGTATCACAGAAAAAATACAATTAGAGTTTTGTACAGCAAAGCTGAGGAAAATACATCAAACCTAGGGCTCAAGCAAAAAAAAAAAAAAAAAAAAAATACTTGGAATGACATGACAGTTGCATGCAGGGTTTTTTTTTGCCTGTGTCCAAACCTTTGCTAGGCAACAGTATAATTCACACGTTCAAGAAATGCTACAATCCAGCGTCTCTCAATGCACTATGAAGCAAAAAAAAGCATTTTTATTTCTGTTTTGTTGTTCTAGAGCTCCACTCCCTACCAGTTTACTAAAATGTTGTCAGTAGGAGAGAAGTAAGGGAAAAATCTACTTAGTGGAGCTCCAGATAAAAGGAAGGGTTAGCATTCTATCCACAACTAAAAAAAAAAAAAATGGCTCAACATATGCTTTCCATTTGGTATACATTTATACTGTATATAGGTTCACCAAAGCAGGGCATAACACTAAATACTTGAATACACGTGCAATGTAAAGAAACAGTGTAACAATTTTGAAGCAGTTCCTACACCAATTTAAATAGTAAATATTTTAAGTGGCATGTTGATAATAAAACATTAAATGTGCTAAAAGGTTTCATGTACTAGGTGAGCATTTGTGGGTGACATCATAAGGAATATGCCTATAGTCACATACCTGAACAAAAAGCTTCCCACTGCCATGACCAAGTAATTCATGTAGACCAACCTGAACTTCAAAAGATGGTCCACGATACTTCATGAAAACATCCTGTAAAGAAAAAAAAATAATCTTTGTCACTATCCCAGTGCACTGCAGAATGAGAGTGTGAAAACAGAGTGGGGAATTTAAATGTACCTCCACAGAAAGTTTTCTCTTTAACATACACATTTACTATATGATCAATAAAAACATTGTTTACATATTAAAATAATTAAAAAATATAGTCAGTCAATCAGACTTCATATATTATAATAGCCCTACTTTTTTAACTTCACACAAAGCTACCTGCCCTGAACGTTGCCTTTGTTCCTTGCTAGCCAAAGTCCACTACCTTGAGTCTTATCTTCGTTCTTGGTTATCAGAGTTGGCTGCTGGACCTGACCTCTGATCTGTACCTTCCCATCTATAGCCACAAACAGTTCTGTCTGCAGTTTACCTTCGTGCTCCAGACCTACTTCCTGATACCCTCTTGTATTCAAGTCCCTGGCGCAGCTTACCAATTCTTAGATGTGATGGCTGCATTCATTTTCTTTTTTAGGCTTTTTCTTCTATTTTCATCTGGTGATCCAACCAGTAAGTCTGTTGTGTTTCAAAAGAACAAGCTCTCCAGCAGAATATATCAGTTGCAATGTATCATATAGAAGACAAACCATTCAACACTAGCAGGGGTGCTTGCAATGATCAGCTTTTATGTAAAACCTTTATCCCAAAATGGAAAAAAAACTGCTGTAACTGTTGTAAAGTATTAACTGGAGTTTGGCTTCAATTTGTTAGTGTATCTAAATCTGCTAGTACATCTAACACTCCCCTCCATACAGACTGACAATGCTGCTGTCCAAAAGGTGCCCCCTGGGCTCCTTCATCCAGAGTGGAGGCACTCTGATATAGGAGGTGTGTTACTGGCCGGATCACCAGGTGAAAAAAAAAAGAGAGGAAAAAAGCCTAAGAAAAGAAAACTCATACAGCCACAATATCTAATGATTGGTAAGCTACAATATATGATATTTTTGGTTTTGGGCCTAATACCACATTAAGTAGGGTGAACTTGAGGGTCGTGAGCCAATGTCAGTATTCAGCAAAGTTCATCTGCACCATCAGGAGCTCTGGTGAATACCAGCTGGCCCTTTTACTTTAAGCCCTGGGACATCCTGCGTCACCTGCTCTCACAAGGGACCATCCTCTCCCAGATTTCTCCAGAGTAGTTCCCATTCTGCAGATTCAACACCCAGGTCTGATCTGCCCCATGGTGCCCTGGCTCTACTGAGAACTGGCTAATCGGTCTACATTTCCTGGGTACACCTACCATCTTTCTTGGGTATCTGTTATACCGGGGTCCTCAAACTATGGGCCGCGGGCCAGATACGCCAAAGACGTTTATCCGGCCCGCCAGGCCAGCCAGAAAAATAAAAAAAAAGGCGCTGGCCGGAAAATAGCTGGCTGCTCGCTGAGTCCTCATGGCCGAGTGCGTTACAGTGTACAGTGCATTTTGGTTTCCAGTGCAGAGAACAGTAGGTTAGAGTGTACAGTGCATGGCGGTCCCAAGTGCGTTGCAGAGTACAGTGCATTGCGGTGCCCAGTGCATTCAGTGTACAGTGCATATTGGTGTACAGTGCATATGGCGGTCCCAAGTGCGTTTCCCAAGTGCGTTTCAGAGTACAGTGCATTGCGGTTTCCAGTGCATCAGAGTACAGTGCGTTACAGTGTACAGTGCATTGCGTTGCCAAGTGCGTTACGGAGTACAGTGCATGGCGTTCCCAAGTGCGCTACGGTGTACGGTGCATTGCGGTACCAAGTGCGTTACGGAGTACAGTGCATTGCGGTGCCCAGTGCATTTTAAATATTGTATTGTTTCCTGTTTTTTTTTTGCACTACAAATTAGATACATGCGGTGTGCATAAGAATTTGTTCATATTTTTTTCAAACTATAGTCCGGCCCTCCAACAGTGTGAAGGTCAGTAAACCGACCCCCTGTTTAAAAACTTGGAGGACCCCTGCTTTATACACTGCTCACAAAAATTGAAGGAACACTTTTTAATCAGAGTATAGCATCAAGTCAATTAAACTCCTGGGATATAGATCTGGTCAGTTAAGTAGCAGAGGGGTTGTTCATCAGTTTCAGCTGCTTTGGTGTTAATGAAATTAACAACAGATGCACTAGATGGGCAACAATGAGATGACCCCCAAAAAAGGAATGGTTTTTCAAGTGGAGGCAACTGACATTTTTTTCCCTACTCATCTTTTCTGACTGTTTTTCCACTAGTTTTGCATTTGGCTAGGGTCGGTGTCACTACTGGTAGCATGACGCAATAGCTGTACCCTACAGAGGTTACACAGGCAATCCAAATCCTCCAGGATGGCACATTAATACGTGCCATTGCCAGGTTTTCTGTGTCTCCCAGCACAGTCTCAAGAGCATGGAGAAAATTCCAGGAGATAGGCAGTTACTCTAGGAGAGCTGGACAGGGCCGTAGAAGGTCCTTAACACAGCAGCAGGACTGGTATCTGCTCCTTTGTGCAAGGGGGAACAGGATGAGCACTGCCAGAGCCCTATAAAATGACCTTCAGCAGGCCACTGGTGTGAATGTCTCTGACCAAACAATCAGAAACAGACTTCATGAGGGTGGCCTGACGTCCTCTAGTGGGCCCTGTTGATCATTGCCAGACACTATGAATTGGCAGGTCCGCCACTGGTGCCCTGTGCTCTTCACAGATGAGAGCAGGTTCACCCTGACCATGTGTAACAGATGTGAAAGGGTCTGGAGGGTCCATGGGGAATGCTATGCTGCCTGTAACATCGTTCAGCATGACTGTTTTGGTGCTCTGTCAGTGATGGTCTGGGGAGGCATATCCATGGAGGGATGCACAGACCTCTATAGGCTAGACAATAGCACACTGACTGCTATTAGCTATCGGGATGAAATCCTTGGACCCATTGTCAAACCCTACACTGGTTGCAGTGGGTCCTGTGTTCCTCCTGGTGCACGACAATGCCCGGCCTTATGCGGCTAGAGTATGCAGACAGTTCCTGGAGGATGAAGGAATGGATACCATCGAATGGCCCCCGACGCTCACCTGACCTAAATTCCAATAGAACACCTCTGTGATATCATGTTTTTTTCGATCCATCTGGTGCCGCCAGGTTGCACGTCAAACTGTCCAGGAGCTCAGTGGTGCCCTGGTCCAGATCTGGGAGGAAATACCCCAGGACACCGTCCGTCGTCTCATTAGGAGCATGTCAGGCATGTATACAAACACATGGGGGCCATACAAACTACTGAGTACCATTTTGAGTTGCTGCAATGAAATTTCTGCAAAATGGACTAGCCTGCCGCATCATTTTTTCACTTTGATTTTCAGGGTCTTTTTGAATTTAGTCCTCAGCAGGTTGATAATTTTCATAAAACAATGGGGCATCCTTACGTTCCTAACACATTACCCAGTCCATATCAGCATAATCCATCATGATATTTTTCCCCATTGAGATCTGATGTGATTTCAAAGTGTTCCTATAACCATGACACAAAATACATACACATTTAACATGCAAATAAAAACATTTGAAGGCAGTGGGGTCGATTTACTAACACTGGAGTATGCAAAATCTGGTGCAGCTGTGCATAGTAGCCAATCAGCTTTTACCATCACCTTGTTCAATTAAGTTTGACAAAATAACCTGGAAGCTTATTGGTTTCTGTGCAGAGCTGCACCAGATTTTGTACTCGCCAGTTTTAGTAAATCAACCCCAATATGTCTGTATACTGCACCTTGTCTTCCTCAGACAGAAATGTCAGTTTTTCACGCTCAGTGGCTGATCCAACTGACAAAACATTTCCCAAAGAGACATTCTTAAATCCAACACTCTGTCTGATATCATCATCTGAAACAAAAAAAAAGAACAGCACACATGGCATTCAGCACATTAAAACAAAACAAACCATGTCAAATTTTTTATATTCACACCCTTAAATGTTAGAGATATTAACTGCTGATTTTATGCATGATGTTATGTTTCAGGGCTTGAAAAAAAAAAAGGAAGGCTGTGTGTTACATAAGTTCACAAAAAAAAGAAATATAATAATTGCATTTTGTATGCAAATATAAAAATGTGCATTTATTATTTTTTTTCCTCAGGAGCCTGCAGAGCACACTGCACCCACAATCAGCAGATCATGGTTGCAGTAACAGGCTCCTGAAGACTCTCAGTGCAGCTCTTTGCCTGTACCTCCAGTATGGGCAGACAGTTAATAAAGTCTGGGAAAAATCAAAGAACTACAATAGTGCTCACTAGTGCCCTCGCAGTTCACCGAGAACTACAAGCCATCTGCCATGGTGGCAGACAGGACTTGTAGTTCATTCATTCACAGAACTCTGTGAATGAGTGTGTGGCTGTGTCTGGTGATCCAGCCAATAAGTCTGTTTTCAAAAGAACAAGCTCTCCATCAGAATGTATGAGATGAGAAAACCATTGATCACAGACAGGGGTGCATACAATGATCAGTATTTATTTATGCAAAACCTTTATCCCAAGAGGATAATAAACAGTTGCTGTAACTGCTTATGAAATGTTCTCTGGAGTTTTGCTTTAATTTGTTAGTGAAACTAATTCTGCTAGTACATCTAGTACTCCCCTCCCCCAGAATGATAATGCTGCTTTCCTTATGTGGAATCACTAATACAGGAAGTGTGTTGCTGGCTAGCTCAGCAAGGGAAAAAAATGGTAAAAAGCCTAAAAAATAAAACTAATGCAGCCACCACATCTAAACATTAATAAGCTGCAATATATTACACTTTTGGTTTTGGGTATAATACCACTTTAAATTGTGACAACAGTTGCAATGAATCAATCCTCCAACTGCTGTCATGGGGATGGGGGTGAGGATGCCGATTCTGTTACATGTTACACCCCAAATATAAGTGTAACATGCTCAGAAAGGGGAACTTACCCTTTAATTTGAGTTGAAGAGTAGGGGTGAAAAAATGCCACAAAAGCAGGTTCTCAACTCTGAAAATTATCAATTTTTGTCCATCTTTTGTTCACCATACACTGCTTTGTGGACTAAACAAAGCACATACTGTTAACAGAGGTTTAGCAACTCACAATTTGGTATATTGATTCCAGCTGGGATGCCACTTCCACTGAAAGTTACAACGTCCAAGGAGGTGAAGTCTGGACGGAGGAAAACATCCTTCTCATATGAAGATGGCCATGGAAGGGTTGGCACAAGACTCTCTGCTGCTGACACAAGCTGAGCAAAGCGAGCACTTACTAATTTGTTAACTACTGCTACAAAGCCTGTGAACACAGCAAAGTGTTTGTTACTAATAGGGAAGAAATAAATGAATACTGCATAATACAATTCTGCCCTTCTAAGTTTTAAGCCCTTTATTTACCAAAACAACACTGCACTGAATCACTATCCCATCAATGTACGTTTAACATTTGTTTAACCGCTTCCACTGTCCTATAGCAGAAATACTGCTACAGGGCAGCGCGGGTGCGCAAAATCACATATGTATACATGTGATTTTGCATTTCCAGGTAGGGGGTGCATGCGCGGCTGCCAATCACCGGGTCCCGGTCGGTGATTACCCGCTGGCCCCCGGTGATTACCAAGCATCTCTGACGGGGAGGAGGAGAACTGTTTTGTTTACTAACAGTTCTCCTCCCTGTCAGCTTGGGCACACTGCTCTGGATGGCTTGTGTACAGCACAGCCATCCAGAGCAGTGTGCTTACAGTGAAGCACTAACACACCGCCCCCCAGTAAAACACTCCCTGCACACAGTTAACCTTTGATCGCCCCTCATGTTAACCCCTTCCTGCCCAGTGCCATTAGTACAACATCACTGCTTTTTTTTTTTTTAGTACTGATCACTGTATTGGGTGCCCACTGGGGATGTCAGTGGCACAAAGTCAGTTCTTCCCCCCCCCCCCCCCCGTGTCAGAATGTCCACCGCAGTCCCGCTATAAGTTGCTGATCGCCGCCATTACTAATAGAAAAAAAAATTACAGTATCTATACTGCCATTTGTAAAAAAAAAAACGCTATAACTTTCAGGTAAACCAATTAATTTACATTACAATTGGGATTTTTTTTTAGCAAAGACATGTAGCAGAATACATTTTGGCCTAATCTGATTTTTTTAATTTTTTCACTGGACATGTTTAATAGCAAAAAGTCAAAAATATAGTTCTCAAAATTGTCGGTCTCTTTTTTTTATAGCGCAGCAAATAGAAAAAACACACAATCAAATGCCACAGAAAGAAATCTCAATTTGTGGGAAAAATTTGTGGGAAAAATGACAAATTTCATTTGGCTTTGCAGGACCGTGCAATTGTCAGTTAAAGTAACACAGCGCCGTAATGCAAAAATGGCCTGGTCAGGAAGGGGGGTAAATCCTCAGGAGGGCAAGTGGTTAACTGATGTTAAACAAATCTGTGGTAATAAGCAGGTAGTCTAGCTACTTCTAGGCCATAGAGACAACTTCATAAGTTTCATTAAGAGACTGCATTTGCATAACACTCACACTACATTCACATAGCTATTTTTTTATTCCTTGTGTCAGATAGTCCCACCAAAAGCGCATGTTTTACAGGAACGCTCACAAATCCAGTAGTAGGATAATTACTGTTCCAGCAATTCCATATAGCCAGCCATGTTGATGTCCACAAAACATTACCTGATTATGGGACAAGATGGGTTTGGGGAGCACTGCTTTCTTGAGCAGCTATTACTTTGAGAGTAGATTTGTGATTGATGGTGCCTATTGTTGTGAAAAACTATACTAAACATTTACATTGACCACAGCATTCCTGCATTTCTCTTACTATACAACTGATCTGTTTTATTCCATTTTAGCTTTTATTGGTGTAAACACGAAAACCTATTATGACTTGCAGCTTACTGAAGCAAATGGTATTTGCCTGGTTTTATTTATCCTAATTATTACAATTATTTAAAGAAAATCACCAATGTTCTACCAAGCGGTATGTCACCCCTCTGCAAACTCACCTTCAAATTCCCCACGGGAACCAAATGGATCTCTATAGCTCTCAATGAACCCAATATAACTGAAAAAAAAAACGTTCCGTGAAAATAAATTTTTTTCCAAAAAATACTGACTTAGAGTTAGAAGCTCACACTTACACTTCTGTATAAGCCCACAAAACAAGTTTAAAGCTGAAGTCCAGACAAACCAAACAGATAAGCACACAGTCAAAATACATATGTGAGAGTTGTTTTTGTCAAAGAATTTGTATTTTTGCACATCCAGTCCTCCATTTTCCTAGCCTAATAAGTGAAGGTGCAGCAGCAGTTCATCCATTGGCTTATACTGTTCTGTCAGCGAGTGTTTTTTACCACAAACACATGCAGAGCAATTGGCTGGCTTGTAGTTCTGCCATTCCTCCCGCAGTCTGAGGGCTATAGTACAAGGTATTAGAAGAAGCTGATATCAATATTCAGTTACAGTAATTACAGCAGAACTAAAGTCCTGCTTTCAAAAACTGCAAGCTGGTAGGCTCTGTATTGTAAGAGACATGCAATGCCACTTCCGTAATAAAAGAAACCTACCTGCCTGCTTGCAGTCATGTTTGGAATGTACATTGAGCTGTGCAAGCGCAGCTCAGTTTACATTCTGGCACAACGACCATGTGCCAGGATGACTACACTCATGGGCATTCAGATAGAAGATGCCGGACCACAGAGAGAGGTCAGCTTTGCGAAGTTTAGTTCTGCGTTAATCTAGCTGCTTTTAAATACTGTACATTTTCTTGTTGTTAATGAACACATAAATGCATTCATCTGTGTTTTAATATCTTTCTAGATTTCAGCCTTAACTGTAATTATAACTATATGAGGTTTACCCATGTGTGAAACTTCAAGGCTTATCACAATGGCTAGTCTTAGTGAGGCTTCTGAATTTTCCTTCTTTATCAATGAACTAAACATGCATCTATGCAAAACATAGGCACCTAGTTGTACTGTTACTATGGTGACGTTTTATACAATTTGGATTCCACAAGTGAATCACTTTTCACCACCTATTGACCACCAGCTTCTTCACATGCCATGCCCCCCCCCCCCCTTTCTACATTTTCACTCCCCCCTTTCTCTTCTTTCCCTCTTTCTTGTTGTACTTTCTCTTGTGTCTAGAATGTAACCATCACTGCTTCAGTTTCTACTCTCCAAAAATAATTACTCATGGATATGGCCACAACTTGGTCACTTATACAGTACGTCCACAACCTGTATTATTGAAACTAAAATGTATTTTGATTATGGTATTGTCAAAGAGACAGAACTATTCCACATTTTAACATAAGGGGGTATAATTTTATGTAACCCTTCAATCTTGTATAGGCATTGGCCTTGGTAGTTTGTTATTATTGTACGATATGTGTAAACCTCTTGAAATAATTTTTTTACCACTTGAAGACCAGGCCTATTCTGACACTTTTTGTGTGTAATGTATGTGTATATAATATATACACATACACACATATACATACACACACACATATATACACACAGAGAGAGAGCGAGAGCGAGAGCGAGAGTGAGAGCCACTATATATATATATATTGTGTGTGTGTGTGTATATATGTGATGTATGTGTGTACACATACACACACACACACACACACACAACACATATATATATATACATATATATATATACACACATATATATATATACATACACACACAATATATAAATATATATATATACCATATACACATAAACACACACACACACCCCCCACACACACACACACACACACATATATACACACACACAATATATATATATACACACACACACACACACACACATATATATACATACATACACATACATACACACACACACTTTCAGGCGGAGTTCCTACAGAGTTTGACAATTTTTTTATGTCACTTGGTATTTGCACAGCAGTTTTTCAAATACAGAGTTTTGGGGAAAAATAAATTTTAATGAATTGTAATGCACAAAAACACAATACACTGTGTGCACAATTATTAGGCAATTGAATATTTTGACCAAATTATCATTTTTATGCATATTGTTCAACTCCAAGCTGTATAAACTTGAATGCTTATTGGATTTAGGCATATCAGGTGATGTGTGTTTGTGTAGAGGGAGGGTGTGGCCTAAGGAAATAAACATCCCATATCAAGGTGTGCATAATTATTAGGCAGCTTCTTTTCCTCAGGCAAAATGGGCCAAATAAGAGATGTAGCTGACTCCAAAAAGTCAAAAATTGTAAAAAAAAAGTTTTTCAGAGGGATGCAGCACTCTTGACATTGCTAAGATATTGGGGCGTGATCATAGAACCATCAAACGTTTTGTTGCAAAAAGTCAACAGGGTTGTAAGAAATGTGCAGAGAAAAAAAAAAAAAAGGCGCAAACTAACTGCCAAAGATTTGAGAAGAATTCAAAATGTGAAGCTACCAGGAACCCATTATCCTCCAGTGCTGTCGTATTGCAGAACTACAACCTACCTGGAGTGCCTAGAAGTACAAGGTGTTCAGTGCTCAGAGACATGGCATGGGTAAGGAGGGCTGAAACCTGACCACCACTGACAAGACGACATAACTTGAAACACCAAGACTGGGCCCAGAAATCTCTGGAGACATATTTTTCAAAAGGTTTTATGGACTGACAGGATGTGAGTGACACTTGATAGACCAGATGGATGGGCCCATGGCTGGATCAGTAATGGGCACAGAGATCCACTTCGACATAAACCATACTGAGAGCATGTGGGACCTTTTAAACAAGAGATTTATGGTGATGGAAAACAGTACACCTCTCTGAACAGTGTCTGGAAGGCTGTGGTTGCTGCTGCACAAAACATTGATGATCATCAACAGATCAAGAAACTGACAGACTCCATGAATGAAGGCTTATGACTGTTACTGAAAAGGAGAGTGGCTAGAATGGTCACGGATTTATTTTGATGCGTCAGAAATGTTTATTTGTAAATTATGAGTCTTTTATTTGTATCTGTTAAAGTGAGAATAATAAACAAACAAGAGAGATGGGAATTTTTTACTCACATGTGTAGTGCGACTGCCGTTTACATATGCATGAGGGTCATACGCGTGTGTTCATGTATACACGCGAGCATGGTGGGACGGGGGTGCTTTAAATAAAATGTATTATTTATTGTATTTTGAATTTTTTTTTTTTTTACACTGTCTTTACATTTTTTTTAATCACTTTTATTGCTATCACAAGGAATGTAAACATCTGGGGGTCTCATTACTGAGATCCCAGATCTCTCATCTGCCCCTAAAAGCATCTGATCAAACCAAGATCTATTTGATCAGATGCTTTCCCAATCCAAAAATGGATTGTTTACATTCTGCCCAAATCAGAAGTGACAAAACTTGTGTCTTCCAGTCTTTTCGACCATGGAGATAATTGGGGACGTTCTGGTCTCCAATCAACTCTATGATCTGCCAGTCACTGGGTATGTCAGTGTCTCAGCTGACATGCTAGATTGCTGTCACTTCTTGGAAAGAGGTAGTAGGAGAAAAGAAAGGAGAGAGCAGATGGTACTGGAGAGTTTGTGAAAGAAAGATTGGCATAGTCCCTGGATAATTGATTCCCAGGGGGTAAAAGTGCATATTGACCCACTCCACCCCCTCGAGTCCCGTTTTCCTGGTGAATTCTCGAGTGGTGGTGGAGGCACATTGATGGAGTGAAGCACTTACGATTAAGTGTGGACTATATTACACTTTTAATTCTAAAGGACATTCAGAGAAGCACTTTAATGCATGGAATTTATGTCACATATTGTATTTCAATATATGTAATTGTATTATAATGAGTGATAGAATATGGACATTGCAGTTTAATGCTTAAAGAGCGCTGTGTACCGTTAGACTACGTCTCTTAGACCATAGAAATGATCGGGGACATTCTGGCCTTTGTCAGATCTATGATAAGCCAGTGGAACCGCTGTCTTAAGTCCTGAGCTCCCTGGTGGAACAGGAGAGCCTGGAGGGTGACCGGAGATGGACCCCCTTCCAACTACTGTAAAAGCAATCCAGTGACTAATAAGTTGCTAGGACTGCTTTTACTAAAAAAGGGTATCGCCGGCTGAAAAAAACAATACCGGGATGATGCCTGTAGCTGCAAGCATGATCTTGGTATTACCAGGTGTACGTTACCGGGTCTTCAAGCGGCTAAAGAAAAACAATTTTCAAAAATTGTTGTATTTGTTTAGTCAGGGAAATATGAAACACGGCACATTCATATTCCATATTTACTGCTTGCAGCCTGCTGGTTGTGCATTCAAGGCAAAAATTAGAGCTCTGAGTTATTATACTACTACACTGTAAATCTGACCTTTTTTTTTAGCTCAATTCACAACAAACACAAGGTTAATGGGTCAGGCAGGAAATACTCCCTGTCTAGTAATACGGCTTCTAACATCAAAAAAGTGACCAGCTAAATCTAGGCTTTCTTGCTAGAAAGCCCAGCAGCCTCTGTACAAGTGTAAAGGTAGTTTGTGAAAAAATTAAAAACCATAAAAATGATGTATACAATCTGTTTAGAAATGCAATGCAAACACTAAAAAAAAATTAAAGAGTGATTAAAGGGCAAAAAGTTTAGTTTTCTTTTAGTTTTGGATAGTGTGGGGAAGGGTTAGACCCTCTGCCTAGTCTTTATTATTACCTGTGTCCCTGTTGATGAAATTCACCCCTTTATCCTGGTAAGCATTGTCAATGAAACAGAAAATAATGGGAAATCCTAAAATTTAGAGTTGTCATGCCCTCAGTCTATTTGGCCTTCAGGTACTCACCTCTCTACTATTGGTCCTTTATCCTGCACCCAGTGCTTGGACCCTTCCTTATGAGCCTGGATGGATCCTTCTTGAAAACTGCGTCCATATTCCTCCAGCATCTTTCTCTGGTTATCATTGGAAGCATAAGCCTAAGGATGATTTTGGAATAAAAAAAGAATACATAAAAAAATGAGGATTACAGAAACCAAATGACACACTAAAGTGTGTAGATGTTTGAAAATTTTGTGAGCAATGCTTTTAACAATCCCCATTTCCTGACGGAGAGTCTCTTTGAGGTGTGCCAATGACATTGTACCTTAACCATGTAGTACACCATGACCAGTCAGGAGTCATTGCAACACCCCCTTGACCAGTTGGTGGTTTTCAGTATGGTGTGCAAAAGGAATATACTTATTTCCAAGAAGGTCCCTATAAAGGGGTCATTATGTTAGGCTAGCCACATACAGTCAGATGCATTTTATTAAGATTAATAATTATTTTAGAACTGGATTTCACAGCAGCCACAGACATTTTTCATATATTAACAGAGACTATCAATTTGGAAAAAGATCACAAATTAATTTGGAAGAAAAACATTGTATTGCTACAACATGTTGACAGTTACAATGCAACTTTTCTTTAGTCACAGTTTCCATTGTTAAAAATTGTTATCCTTTCAAATTCCACAGTTCATGCTCATTTCCACACAGAAACAATAGTGATCACCTTTGCCTTTTCCAGGTTTTCCCTCACTCGAAGAAGTAAGGCAGAGTAATCACCCCTTGTGACAATGATCTCATGGCCTTCAAACTCGAATGATCCCAAGACGTTTGAAAGATCAGAAGACTTATCTGCAGATCCTGGTTTGTGACAAAGGGATAATGTAATGTGTGTACAAAGAAAATGTAGTACAGTACAAATAAAACTTGTTGTTGATTTACACTATGCCTGGAAAAGTATTGATCAATCAAGCATGCACTATTAAAATCAATGCTGCACAGTGTTAGGAAATCTAGTAAATAATAGGACTTCTATTTGGGTTTAAACCTAGGGGAATAAATGCAGGAGCTGTCCGTTTGAACAAGCGTCAATTTAGAGGCTTCTGTTGGCAAAATGAATGATACAGAGAGGCACATGTATCCCACAAGCCAGTCATTTGTGACCACTAGACTCCCACCTTCTTTGGTAATGGATGCCAGTCGAACCTCATACTTAGTTCTGCCTCCTTCATCCTGAGTTTTAAACAGTCTAGTGTTGTAGGCACTAAGATTCTGGCGAGAAAAAGAAAAATGAACAGAATTAATCATAAAAGCTTTCCCATAGAAGAACAGTAAATGAGCTAGATTGGCAACTACTGATAAAAAAGCACAAATGTAGCTGTATACCTTTGAGTCAAGAAACCTCTGAATCAGTTCTGCATCTTCCATAGTGCAATTTCCAGAGAAGTAAGTGGTAATTCCCTAGGACACATGAAAACAAATATGATCATGCATCCTTGTTACACAGTCATTAAAAGACAACTCCATGTGATGCAGCATAGCTGGGAAAGAGAGAAAAGGATCAGATGCAAGTAGAATTAGGAGCTTAAAATTTGTTCTGTTCATTCTGGGACTGTGCCTCAGTCTTCTACTCAAGATGTTTTGGGGGTCAAAGAAAATCATGTGTCATTTAGTTGAGTTAGGCTTACTGGTAATTTCTATTTCCAGTAATCTTCCAAGACTGTTCCTGAAGTGTAAATCTCTTGCCACCTGGACAGGAAATGCAATACCCTACAAACTTTAAAATGCAATCTTCCAGACCATCACCTCAGAATACAGAACCATAGGACACATCTAAAAAACTAAAGCCAGCAATAGACGGTTCGAATCATGTATGGGCAGGCTGAAAGTACCCAATTTGATAGATCAATCAACTTGGGTACAACCAGCCTGCCAGATTTTACATATGATTCTCGCTAGCGACTAGGTATAGCCGCTAACAGTCACGGTCTTCTCAGCCCCCCTGCAAGAATACAATAGCTCTGGGAAGGGATTCCCCGTCAACACTGACTGCCCATGGTCGCAGGAAAGAAATTTGCTCAGTGTATGGCCTGCCTTACTCAAACTCTGCTGTTCCCCAGTCGTCTTCTAGGACAGCCCTTAAGACAAAAGAAAGGGCTTAGCACCCTGGGATGGAGGAGGGGCTGTGGGGGCTTACCACCTGAAGGACCTTTCTACCAAATATATGATCTTGACTTAATAGGTCCATATGGTATTGTTTCACAAAAAAGGTGTAAAACCTGGACCAAAGTTGCTGTTTTACATATCTGTTCTTGTATGGCACCAGCTCTCTCTGCCCAGGAGGTGGACAAGACTCTAGTTGAATGAGCATTAATAAACAGAAGAGCAGTCTACATAAACTGGTATGCTTCGCAAATGGCCTGTCTGATCCATCTTGCTATAGAGGATTTAGGAGGCTTAGCCCCCTTGCTGGCACCTGCTATGGAGGACAAAAGGGCTTCCAATCATTCTAGAGACCACTCTGAAAATCGTTGAATCCCCCAACAGGGAGTGCTGTAAAAAAAAACACTGAGAGCTGCTGCCTGTACTTTCAAGGTGCTGAGGGCTAGACCTTGTTCCACACCATTTTATAAAAATTCCAGGACAGGTTGAATGGATGCCAACAAAAAAAGGTGTTCTGCAATCCGTGAATTGAGCTTCTTTCAAACTGAAGGAGGGGGAGGAGGGGGGAGGAGGAACCAGAAGAGGAGGAGGGGGGAGGAGGAAGCAGAAGAGGAGGAGGGGGGAGGAGGAAGCAGAAGAGGAGGAGGGGGGAGGAGGAAGCAGAAGAGGAGGAGGGGGGAGGAGGAGGGGGGGAGTAAGTAGAAGAGGAGGAGGGGGGAGTAAGTAGAAGAGGAGGAGGGGGGAGTAAGTAGAAGAGGAGGAGAGGGGGGGAGGAGGAGGCGGGGGGGAGGAAGAAGAAGAGGAGGAAGAAGAAGAGGAGGAGGGGGGGGAAGAAGAAGGAAGGGGGGAGGGAAGAAGGAGGAAGGAGGGGGGAGGAGGAGGTAAAAAATATAATAACGGAGCTCTGCAAGGGACAGAAGTAATTATGGGGTTAAATGCTGGCCGTAGATGGGACGAAAATCGGCTAATTTTTTTACCGTTGGTGGTAATGTCGGCCTATCGAACGACCAATTTTTCGGTTTTGTTTTATAATAAACAGCCGGTTTTTGACCCATCTATGGCCTACATAACATTGGTTCCTCAGAAACCATGCCACCAGCTTCAAGAGAGCTACTCAGGGGTGCAGAATAAGTCCAAGAGATAACAGGTCCTCCCTCCCCAAAAGAAGGGAAAACCATGGTCTCTTTTAGCAAAAAAGGTGCCATCAGCATAAGATTTCTTTCCTGCCAAAGCTTCTAAAGTAACTCTGGAATTAGTCTGTACAGTAGAAAGGCATAGCAAAGACTGAAAGTCCAGGCTAGGAGATCCATTGCTAGAGCTGCAAAAAATAAAAAATAAATAAAATAAATAAAATCAGTTTTTCCAGCTCTTATGGGAGGAAAATACACTCACTGGCCACTTTATTAGGTCCACCTGTTCAGTTGCTTGGTAACATAGTAGCAAGTTAATGCATTTAGGCATATAGACGTGGTGAAGACGACTTGCTGAAGTTCAAACCAAGCATCAGAATGGGGAAGGAAGGGGATTTAAGCGATTTTGAAGGTGGCATGGTTGTTGGTGCCAGACAGACTGGTCTGAGTATTTCAAACACTGCTGATCTACTGGGATTTTCATGCACAACCATCCCAGGGTTTACAGAGAATGGTCCAAAGAAGACAAAATATCCAGCGAGTGGCAGATGTGTGAACGAAAATGCCTTGTTGATGTCAAAAGGTCAGAGGAGAATGGGAAGAATGGTTGCTGTGACATTCAGATGGTAGGGTTAGATTTTAGTGTAAGCAAGCAAAGAAGGGGGCGCTCTCTCCTTGTGCATTACCGTGGTAAAAAGGAATTTATTTGAAAAATATATACTAACAAACCAAGATTCATAAAACAAGCTAGGAACCAATGTGACAGTCCGAGCAACTGGCATTCTAGCAGCAGGGTGTGCTAATGCGTTTCGGGAGATGTACTCCCTTTTGCTCAGAGTTACAGAAACTATACAAAGAGCAAACTTATATAGAGGATATATATTTTTTGTAATTTTCAAATAAATTCCTTTTTACCATGGTAATGCACGAGGAGAGTGTGTCTCTTCTTTGCTTTCTTCCAGTATAATGAAGATTCCCCGATCTTTAGAGGGATGCACCCAAGCAGGTGACTGTTACTGTGGTCCTGGGATGCTCACGGACTTGAGCGCTTGTGTTGTGTTTTTTCTTTTGACTTGGTGTAAGCAACATGAAAGCATAGATCTATCCTGCCTCGTATCAAAAGTTCAGGCTGGTGGTGGTGGTGTAATGGTGTGGGGGATATTTTCTTGGCACTAGCAAGGTATACTCAATCAAGTGGCCAGTGAGTGTAGATCTACATTTGGCTGCCCACACATATCTACCAGAGAGGAGAAAACCTCAGGATGGAGGGACCATTTGTTCTGCAACACCTGATGACGACTGAGGAAGTCCACTAGGTACTCTGTGTGCCTTTCAGGTGCTTTGCTGAAAGAGGCCAGTGATTTTTGCCCAAACCAGAAGTTTTTGAGCCACACCTGGCTGGGCCAGATTCCTTGTAGCCCCCTGCTTGTTGATAGCCACTGTGGCCATGCTGCTTGAAATTTTTATTTTTTTAGATGGATGTCCTTTTATCTCCTTCTGAAAAACTTTCATAGCTCTCTTGACCGCCATCAGCTCTCTCCAATTCGAGTTCGCTCTTGGACCACTGTCCCTGTGCCACTTCACAGTTTAGATGGGTTTCCCAACCCCAGCAACTTGCATCCATTGTCATGGTTTGAAAAACTGGGCAACTCTAAAGAAGGCCCTTGGAAAGATGTGCGAGGGACCTCCATCACTAGAGGGCTCCATTGACTCTTGGTGGAAACTTTAGACATCCAGGGATTCTTTAGGAGCCTGACTAAGCCAGTAAAATGAATAATAAAGTGTTAGGCTACACATGGTTTACCTCATCTAAGCAAGAATCAGATCCTTAAACATACAACAAAAATAGAAATAAATAAATTGTAAGTGTTTACTTACACTAAAAATACAAAATGAAATAATTGTATCTTTATGAGGATGTGATTCTTGCTTAGGTTACACATGGTTTGAAGAAATGAGGGGGGGGGGGGGGGGGGGGGGGGGTGATCTGCGCAAACACTGCTTAAAGTCCTGGGCAATCCTGGTCTGGGGTGATGGTGTTGTATATAGCTGAATGAGGAAGATGAGCGTGGGGGGGGGGCTCGTGTGGAACTGAGGGCAAGGCTTCCAAAAAGACTGTAAGAGACTCTGTAGGATGAGAGAAGAAGAAGCGCCTCTAAGTGCAGTATGTCACTTTATTCAGGTGTAGAGGTAGGAACACTCACATAGATAAGGTAATTATAAGCATAAAAACCGTGGTTGGTGTAACCATCAGTAAGGTGGGTATCCAGGGTGAAGAGCTGTCATCTGTGTGGGGTATGAAGAAGTCAGCGTGCCGCTGGAACAGCGTGGTGGCTGGAGGGGAACAGCTGAGAAGCCGGCCGGCGTGCACGTCAACCTCAGAGCCGGGGGGGGAACGCAGGCCGAAACGCAGCGGCAGCATGGCTGTGGTGATAACAGATACCCAAGGTGCACTGCGACGCGTTTCGGAGCATGCGCTGGCCGGAAAAGGTGGAAGTGCGTTCCTTTATCAAGCAGGGGGAAGTGGAAGTACGAGCTTGAATATATACGGAGTGGGGGGCTAATTGTTCAATCAATTAACCAATGGGATGAGTACACATACAATGAAGAAAGTAATTGACCATTGTTGTAAGGTGATAAGAGGATTAAAGTGGATGGAAAGTTGCGGTTATTGTGAAATGTCAGAAAAGAAAAAGAAAATACAAAATGTAGTGAAAAAATGTGGGAAAATGGGAAAAAGTAAATGAAATAAATGAAAATAGAAAAAAGAAAAGAGAAAAAGATGGTACAAATAAAAATTAAAAATAAATGTAAAATTAAAAATAAAAAAAGGCAAAAAAAAAATTAGAAATTAATACAAAAAATATATATGAACATTTAAAATACATTAAAAAGGGGGGGGGGGCGGTGTGCGAATGCAAATTATAAATCATTCTTGTGTGTACACGTTGAATGAGATATAAGGTAATATGTAAACTGGAAAAATAAGGATAAAAATAAAAGTATATTAATGAAAATTATTAAATATTCAAAATAAGTGATCAAAGGAAAAAATTGTTTTGAAAGGTAATAATAATAATTGGTGCAAGAATATAATGATCTGGAATGATTATGTGGGGAAAAAAAAAAATCAATAAAAATGCGTATAAGGATAAATCAAGTTATAAA